CTATAGTTTTCACTTATTTTAAATACATTTCAATTAGTTTAATTCAATTTCCGTACATTTTTACCCACTTCACCACTGTTTCATTTAACGGTTGCATTGTATTAGATATCCGGTTGTGGACTTTTGCATTCTACTTTTATATAAAACGAATTTATTTATTTTTATTTTTTACTTTGAATTAATCTCTTGTACTAAACAAATAATGACGGCATTAAGTGCAGTTACTGCCACTTATGATGCAATTACGCACTCCGACGCGTATTTCGACGAACATAACTCCATACATACATACTACGAGCAAACCCATTGAGTATATTGAGTATTTCTTGAAGAAGTACTCTCAATGATTTTAAAGTACACACACTTTTGCCACTGATCTGTCATAATAATCAGCAAAATCTTGTTGGATTGTTGATATTGATCTTGCAGATCATGGCTATTGGCGTTGACATTCAAACCGCTGTAAGTAAATGTGGCTGTTGCGGTACTCCAAATGCAAGTGCCAAGCAAATATGTAAGATTAACTGTTATTGGTAATATAATGGGGGGTTTCGAAATAGATATTTATTGGCATAAAAACGTACCATGTAATCTCTCCGGTCAATGTACTACATTGTATATATGTATGTATTCGAGAAACATTTGTTTAAATATTTGCTATTTGTAGAATCTGCTTGTCTTTTATAAATTAACGAGCGAATTTATCTGCAGCTTAAATATTTGTTCACATAACGGTTATTTATAGCATCAAGAATATTCCAAGACATCTACATTTATAGTTTTTTATATATGTATGATATGATTCGGAAACATGAGGCGCATTGATAATTGTAACTTTTAATATACTTTGTATTAGTTTGACAGTTGGTCCGTTATGAAATTTCAAAAACAAAAAGTAATAAAGAGATATCGTATGTTAATGAAAGACTAAAGAGCAGCATTAACTTTGGTTGCACCGTCAATACACCATCCGTCACAAATCCAAAATATTCCACACAAGAACTTGATTTTGATCAGTCAGATTGTATGGCAGCTATATGCTATGGTGGTCCGATCTGAGATTGTACCGTTGTACCGCCTTATATAATAATCCGTACCAAATTTCATAAATAAATAATATGTCGTCAAATAGAAAAGTTTTCCGTACAAAGACATGATTTTGATTGTTCAATTTCCTATAATGGTCCGCTATCGCCGGTTCCAAGGTGGTCAAATTGCCTCTCTGCCGCTTGGTATCCTCGCAAACACTAATCATAGGGTGTTCGACATTTTCTTCTGCGTATTACAAATTTCGTGGCAATCTTAATATACACCGTTCGGGTTATAAAAACGGTAGCATGATGAGTGTTATGTGGGCTCTGCACTAAATGTAATAAACTCAATTTTTGGCGTCGACACGTGGCAATAGACGGCACCTGGCTCAAACAATTCACTCCGTAGTCAATCATCCAAACTGAACTGCAAACGATGAGCCGAATAATGAATGTGTGGAAGAGTACTATTGTCGGCTGGCACAGTTATAGCCCTGACAGACGGCAGCGCTAATATGCGTTAGCGGGCTTAATTTACATTTACTTGCGCATTTGACCCATGTTAATGCAAGTTTGTAATGCACAAGAATTTCGTGCATTTAGCTGAATTTACCAAATTTGAGTAGGCAACACTGTTCAAAAATGGCAGAGTTTTGCTAGTTTTTTACAGATTTCAGACACTTTCACCGTTCCCACGACAGTCGGGTCTACGAAAACCGGAACGTACCCGGATTTTTATACGGCTAAGGACTGTCAACTCGGCAGAATTCTACCGTTACAACAACAACAACGCTTCCTGTAACTTAATGTTGTTCTTTCTGTAATAAGACTTTCACGATTGTATTGCAACACAAAATTTTCGGACTTTTCAATTTTGACTTAACCTTCATTAAAGCTTCAGTTTTCTGATCTAAAGTAAAGGAAACTGGGGAGAATCCAGTTGGCGCTCTATGAGAAGTGGTAAAGTATGGTTTATTTATTTTATTTTGGTTCAAATCGAGCAAGCATTTTATAATAAATGTGTTTTTAAAAAGTTCGCAATTATGATGATCTTGTAGTAGTTTCTAACATAACCATTATATAATAGGTTGATAACCAATCCAAATGTTTTTCACCATAATTATTTGCAATTTGACTTTCGTAGCTGTAATTAATTGCGAAATGTATGTATATAGAGTAAATCTATTAGATAATGACAACACTTACTCTATTCAAAACGTTTAAAAGCACAGATGCCCTTTTAACACTTGTTCGATTAATGACGTTTCGTTGATGTGAGGCCGTGAAGAAAATATCCCGTAAATATTGCCATAATTTCTCTTTTCAGTAACAAATATTTTTGATTTTTTCGATGCGCACAACTAACACTTTTTCGGTAGTAAAATACCGCTTTCTTTAAAGGTTTATTTACTTTTGTTTTTAAGGACGGAGCCTGCTTTGGAGGCTTCAAAAAATCGATTTTTTTTTTTGGGGGGAAAGAAATGATTGATTAAAGCGAAATTTCTAGGTTTATAGTTTTGTATTTAAAAATCATCCAACAATTTTTTTGTATACGAAATCTTTGATATTCTGCCTTTGGGAAGCAATTGCCCATGCATCTCGCATGTGCATTTTTCGGACGTCGGGCAGGTTTGCAGCCCGCAATTTCTATGGGAAACAAAAAATTCAAAGACATTCATATTTGTTAATAACTTATCTTCTTGTTAAACTAAGAAAATTCTAAAAATTAACGTGTAARTTTCTGAAAAATTTTCACCATTGAAAAAAGTGGTTTTTGACCAAAAAAAWTATTTAATGTTGTTTAAAAATATGGTCAAACTTAACTTTTCTTAGTTTATTTTTTAGTTTAAATAGAAGATAATTTAATGCCAAAGATAATAAACTTTGCCCAAATTCCATACGACGTTTAGTTTTTTTTTTCCTATCCTGTCCGCCAATTAAGAAAAATCGTAAAACTGRAAAACCGAGAAGTTGCGCGTCAAAGTTTTCGCTTTATGTCCAAGCGCTCATACATACATATATCTGCTAGACGCTCGGTCACTACTTCTAGCTTCGACAATTTTTCGAATTCGCATCTATAACTTGGGAGACATATTCCTAGATAAGTTTTAAAAAGGTTTAAGCAAGAAAAATCCCCCCCTTAACGAGCAAATGTCGAATAAAGGCGTTTCAGCTTTATATCTAAGTTAAGCCACACTCACACTTTTTTTAAACTAAATCTCTGCCTTTGAATCGTTGCCGTTATTTCTTGATTATTTGCTATGGAATTAGCAAAGCAGTTATATTAACGTCATTATTATATAATATTCTAAAACTGACAATTAATATTGCAGTTCGACACTTACTCACTCACAGAACAATCAAGCAAATATTAAAAACTTATTTAAGTAGTTAATTTGCTTTATAGGAACAATAAAACACCCAAATTAAAGAGTGTTAATTATTCACAAGACTCAGTAATCCGATAATTGTTTTAACTCTCATTTTTTCGTAAATATTAGCGAATTACTATTTAAACTCATGCTATTACATACATACATATGTATTTATGTATTTTTTGGCTCACTCCCACATTTTCAAATAACTTACATTGACGGAATGTGGCGACTCAGGTTTCGTCTTAACCTAGCCTCGGCCATGGCGAACTAGTTCCCGTTTTAACTACAATTTAAGACACTTGCAAATCTTCTATTTTACCACCAATGAAACGTCCAAGCCATTTTCGTTTTATAAGCATACTAAATAACAAAAGAGTCAGTTATCCGATTTCGGGTGCTTTTAGAAATTATTTCCATATTCATACATACTTTTCCATTATACAATTCTATGAATACGCAAGTGGGTATATGCTGATTTTTTACACTTTTTGTTTGTTTGTTATTTTTATGTACAGATAAATGTTATATGGGTACCTTCGGGATTATATTTCAGTGTTTGTGTAAAATAAAGGCGCTCCATCAAGTGCGCATGGTTGCCAGTTTATGATGCCGTCATCGGATGCTATGATTTTAAATTAGTTCAAATACGTTAATCAGCAGTGTCAACAAACAACAGTTGAACGTTTGCTCATCTTTACACAAGCATGCGCTCCACCTCTAACAATAAATTAACAAAAATAATATATAAACTTGTGCAAAGAAATGTAATTCAATGTTTTTAGCAAAATTTGGGCGGTACATTTTCATTAGTGTTAAATTAGCCGTCGGCTTATAAAACTCTGTATCAAGATCAATTTTCACAGAACAATCAAGCAAATTCGCAATAAAAACATAAATGTAAACAAAGGAGCGCAGAGAAAAGTTTACACCAAAAACTTAAATTGAAAGTATTATGAGAAGTATTCACCTTAATCATAAAAAAATATGTACTATTAGTAATTTTAGTTTCGGTGAAATTTTTATATATTATAAAAACTTAAATATTTGACGCTTTTTAACATTAGCCTTGCGAATTTTTTTATTGAAATATTTTTGACTAAAAATTAGATTGGATTGAATAGGATTCAAAATTAAAATTTCAATTCTTAATTCCGATGTTCGAATTGGAATTTTGAATCGGGTTTGAGTTGGGATTAAAAAGAGAAAATTTAATATTTTGATAAAAATATCCCCAACATCAGGAT